CCCTGGCGCCGCGGCCGCCGCCGCCGCCGCGGCCGCCGCCGCCGCCGCCGCTGGGGGCCTGGCGCTGGGGCTGCACCCCGGGGGCGCGCAGGGAGGCGCGGGCCTCCCCGCGCAGGCGGCGCTCTACGGCCACCCGGTCTATGGCTACTCGGCGGCGGCGGCGGCCGCCGCGCTGGCCGGCCAGCACCCGGCGCTCTCCTACTCCTACCCGCAGGTGCAGGGCGCGCACCCTGCGCACCCCGCGGACCCCATCAAGCTGGGCGCCGGCACCTTCCAGCTGGACCAGTGGCTGCGTGCGTCCACCGCGGGCATGATCCTGCCCAAGATGCCCGACTTTAACTGTGAGTACCAAGCGGCCCCCGGGGCCTGGGGAGGAAGGAAGGAAGAAATGGGGGAGGGGGAGTCCTGGCACACGGTTTTCCCGCGCATCCTCCTCCAGCCGGCACCACCTCCTCCTTGCTCTCTGCTCTGAGAGCACGGTGGAAGGGCCGAGAAGCCGCCTGGGCTCCGCCCGGGGCCCGCGAAGACTTATGCGGACTGCACGCTGTGGCATTGGCAGCGAATTATTAAAATGGCCACGCGCGGGCCCTGCTTTCTCTTCCTCTCCTAACGGGAAGGGGCAGCTGGAGGTGTGAGACTAAAATCTAATCATTAACCGGCAGGCTAGAGGAGAAGGAAGTGGTGGGGGAAGGCGAGGCAAAGAGCGTCCAAGTTAGGCTGGCTTGGGGATCAAGGCCACCTAAACCAGGGGCTTATCTCCAGAGAAACGAACTTAGGTAACACATTATGGTTCTGGAGAGACCCCCCCCCCCAGTCCCTCCCAGGAGGAGAGATTCAGGAGCAGGGAACAAGAAATGGGCTTCGAGAGACCAGGGCCGCACGGCCAGGTCCCTGGCTATGCTCTGGCCATTTGCGGGGGTTCTGCCCGCCTCTGTATGGGTGCTTCGTCCCCGGTGTGATGCCCAGCAGGCAGATGTCCTGACCTGAAGAGAGCGGTGGCACGCCCCTGCAGAAGGGATGTGCCTCTTTCACGAACCCCATCATAGGGACTCTAAGTAGCAGGTGCCCGGCCAGAATCGGAGGCACCCAACACAGAGTGAACCCCTCACCAAGACAGGAGCGAGGGACTGCTGGCCACCCCCAGTCTGAGAGCTGCTGGGTTGTGGGCAGCATGCTTGCCATGCAGGTGGTACGCCTCCGGGAGGCCTGAGCCCACTGGACTTTCCTGGCCCGTTGGGCGGGCACACTGGGCTGGCACTCTGGGGAGTCTGGATCTCCCCTCTGCTCGCCCCACCCGGGCTCCACACGGAGGGTGATGCATGAGACTTTATGCTTTCAGCTGCAGAACACCCAAACAAAGAGACCCCATTGTTTCCTTCTGAGTGGAAGTGTTTAGACTGGGGAGATGCAGGCATAGGAGGGGAAAAAGCAAAAAGGAAAACAAAAATAAACACTTGACAGAATTCAGATTCCTCTGCTAGAAGCCATGGTTGTGACTAAACAGAGAAAAGCTAGGGGCCTGAGAGCTGGAGAAGTCACAGCCGGGTGAGAAAATCCCAGCCTGCGGACTGTTTGCCCCTAGCCACCCCAGGCTTTCTCCAGCTCAGCTCCCAGAAGACCCTAATGGCCACCCAGCCTGTCCAGGTGGAAGTCAGCCCCTTCTGATCTGCAGCAGGGAAAGCCTGGACTCACCTTTCAGTTTGGGGCCGCAGCTTTGGACATATCTGAACCTGCTGCTCCCGGGTCAGCCAAACCCAAGGCACTCTTCCTGGACCTGGCTGTGAGCAGAGCCAACAATCCCCTTTTGATGGAAAGCCACCCATGGGTGTTCCTTATGATCTGCATGTCCCAGAGCCTGGGATGCTTAGGCTCCCACTGAGGGGGGTGGGGGCCTCCACACAGACCGCCCCTGGGCACTGGGTTCTGGGCTCCCTGCCCCCCCTCCATGGTTTCCTGGGCTGGTGTGGAGCTCAAGGTCGCTCAGAAAATTGGTGAAAGTCACATCCCTTTTGCCCATCCCTGATTCCTAATCTTGACCTACAGGTAGCAGAATAAAACCCAGCCTGCTTTAAGTTTAGAGAAGGAATCTAAATACCAAATCCTAAAAGGGCGATAATAAACAGGCCAGGATGCCGGAATGTCTTCTGAGAGTCCCTCCTCTGTCGCTGGAACACCTGTTTGGTTTCCTCTAATTGGTTGTCTCTGCTGTTGGATGGCATTTCCCCAATGGTCCCTCCGGAGTCAGTGTTTTAATTAAAGTTCTAATGTATTGTCAAGTTGGGAATTGGGGCCTCATTTAACTAAAGCTGGGGGCGTGGGCCTTCCCGTAAAGCAAACTGCCCGCCGGGGGCCTGAGCTCAGCCGCTGGGCTGCCCTCTTCTCTATCCTCTCGTTTATTGTCTGACACTCGTAAGGCTCCTGGGAAATCAAGGGAAGTCTCGGTTTTTGAGGTCATAAAATTCTCTGTGATGTAACCGTGCGAAATTATGTAAATACAGCCAAGGGACCTCCTTGGACGTTCAGAAAGCCCGATCCCCCCCTTTGCCTGGCCTCCGATTGGCGAAATGAGAACTGTCCTGGAAAGGCTTCCAGGCTCCCTGGGCTTTGCCCCTCGGCAACGGGGGCGGGGCTGTCAAGAAGAGTCTTCGGTGGGGAGTGTGATGAACTCACACGTTTGGGCCCGAGATGTGTCCCTCTCCATCCTTCCTTCTCTCTTTGCCTTTGCCCTACTTTTCCTCCTCCTTTTGTAGTTGAGGAGGTGGTGGTGGGAATCCTGCATCAGTTCCTTGCTGGCTGGGAGGAAATGGGACTGGTAATTCCGGAGACCTGTTTGGATTTGAGGCTGACTTGGGGGTGGGGTGCTGGGTGAGGAGTGGAGAGGAGCTATGCCTCAGCGTCCTGCCTGTCTGTCAAGTTCTTCTGCCCTGCCCCGCACCCCCCAGATGGACAGGGCTGCCCTAGGTGACAGGCTATCTTTAATCAGAACACCCAGACCCTGAGTTAAAAAAAAAAAAAAAATTGAGTCGCTTTAAACCCAAACCCGCATGGCTCCACCTGGTATCCAGGTCCTGGCCTCCAGGGCCTCCTCTGGTCACTGGGTCCCTTGGGGACAGCGCGCTGACATTGAAGGAAGAGCAGCAACTTGGCAGGGCCGGTGGGCCAGGTGGCGGCCTGGGGGAGGTGGCGCTGGGGGGCCGGGGTAGGGGTGTCGGAGGACGGAGGACAGCGTCAGGCTGCAGGCCTCACGCCCCTCTCTGTCCCCAGCCCAGGCGCAGTCCAACCTCCTGGGGAAGTGCCGGCGGCCCCGCACAGCCTTCACCAGTCAGCAGCTCCTCGAGCTGGAGCACCAGTTCAAACTCAACAAGTACCTGTCGCGGCCCAAGCGCTTCGAGGTGGCCACGTCGCTAATGCTCACGGAGACCCAGGTACAGCGCCCCCTCCCCCCACACCACCTCAACACAAGCTGGCCTCCTAGGGGACACTCTTGGCACCTGGAGAAGCACCTCCTGACTTTAGGGGGACGGCTAATGTCGGAGGCAGAGTTCGCGTTTGCCCCGCTAGGGTTCCTATACCAAGCCCAGCGGTCCGATTCAGTAGGCTGAGGTCAGACCCAGAAATCTGCTTTTCAAGGACACTGCCACCCACTCCCCCATTCTGAAGCCATGGTTCTCAGGCCACGTCTGAGAAATCTTATTCCAGAAAGAGAGGGAACATCTTGAGATTTACAGATATGGACACTAGCTGGTCTGGCCCTTCCTGGGCAGTGGGCGAGCACCCCCATTAAAGGGCAGGAATCCGGCAGCGGGGGTCGCAGTCTGAGCTTCCGTGGAGTCCCCCAGCCCCACACCTGGGTTTGCTGATGCCTAGGGGGTGGGGAGTCCCTTCCCCCTGGAGCGGCCGTGTCCCCTACTCTGAAGCCCGCTCCTGTGCAGCGTGAGGGAGGCCAGGACCCGGCGAGGCGCAGGAGCTGGGCGCCTCCGGAGAGACCGACGGTGGGGATGGAGGGGCCGCTTTCTCACACCCTCTTGTGCTCTCAGGTGAAGATCTGGTTCCAGAACCGGCGGATGAAGTGGAAACGCAGCAAAAAGGCCAAGGAGCAGGCGGCGCAGGAGGCTGAGAAGCAGAAGGGTGGCGGGGGCGCGAGCAAAGGTGGCAACGCAGAGGACAAGGGAGGGGAGGAGCTGCTGGGGCCGCCGGCGGTTGGGGACAAAGGCAGTGGACGCCACCTGCGGGACTTGAGGGACAGTGACCCCGAGGAGGACGGGGACGATGACCACTTCCCCTACAGCAACGGCGCCGGCACGCACGCCGTGTCCTCCGACTGCTCCACCGAGGCCGACTCGCCGCCTCCCCGGCCCGGGGGCCCCGGGCACCAGCCCCAGCCCCAGTAGGGGCCCCGCAGGCCTGTGAGCCAGGCCGCCGCCGCCGCCGGGCGCTGCCCGTTTGGGACAGAGAGAGGGAGGCCCAGCGGGTTCAAACTGGAACTCCTGTTCTTTTAATTTAACGTCGGTTAGCGTTGGGGCGTAGTGTTTGTGAGAAGAGCTGACCGCGACCAGGGGGAGCCTCCCACTCCCCTCTTCCCGATGGAGAAGGCGGGAACCTACAGTGCTGGACGACCTGGAAAACTTGAAGCCTTCTCCGCCGGAATCGCCATTCTGCTGAGTATTGAAAAAGGGAAAACGTTTTGTGCTTACCTATCTTAGGGGGAACTTTATGTCATGAGCATTCAAACCGCTGGAAATCTCAAAACTGTACTGTATTTTTGTATATTGTATTTATATATATATATATAAAGAAGCGTCTACTTATGCATGCTAAATTATTATTTAGCTTCTCCCATCGCCCACGATGGAATGTAAAATAAATTGGTTTTTTACTGGATGAGAGCGCAGATCTTTGGGGAGGGAGTTATGAAAGCGCACTGTACTATTTTTGTTGTTGAAATGATGGGGGGGTGTATTCCGCAATTGACAGCGAAAGGTGCAAATGAGAATATGGCAAACAGGTGTCAGGAACGCCTCCTCTTCTGGGCCGTGACGTGGACGGGGAACTCGATTCCCGCCGCTGGGGAGGCCTAGGTGCGACATGTTCGTAAAAATACCTGAGACCAGGTGTCAGCGCGCGTCCGAATGCGTGAATCTCAGGAGAGTGACTTTGGATTCCGAGTATTTATCTTTTCATTTCCTTGAGGATCATGCTTCACTGGCGCTCGTGGAAACACACTGTCTGAATATTTCAGAAAATAAGCTTTGAAACGACGAGATGATTTTCCTGGCGTCCGCAAGGACAGCAGCGGGCGGCCGGATCGCTTGCCGCCAGCGCGGCCGTGGCTCCGGGTTAATCAACCTCTGCCGCGGGCGCCATCCATCACCGGCCGCGCCGGCCGCCGCCATGCGCTGCACACAAGCCCCGCTGCACCTGCGCGCCGGGCCCGCGCCGGCCGCTCCCCTCCCCCGCCCACGACGGTCCGGGGCCGCCCGTGGGCCGAGAGGAACTAGGCGGCCAGGGCGCGCGGCTTCTCTCTCCCTCCCTCGTGCGCTCCTCCGTCCCTCGGTTTCTCCCTTTTCCTCCCCGGCCGCTGCGCGCCGGGTCCGCGCCCCTCCCTCTGCGTGCCCCCTCCCGCTCTGTGCCCCCTCCCCCTGTGTGCCTCCTTCCCCTGCGCGCCCCCTCCTCCTGCGCGCCCCCTCCCCGCCCCCCTCCCAGCTGATAAATGAGTTCAGAAGGGCCAGGCGTTTCATTTGGGTGATTACCGCGGGCCAGCGGGGCCACTCCTCTACCTCAGGGCCGGGGTGAGATTAATGTCCTCTCTGGCCGCTCATTATCACCCCGGGCTCGGTCCATAAAATGCAACGTCAGCCGAGGCCGGGCGCGGCGCAGCCAGAGCCGGCGGGAGCAGCTGTGGGCAGGGCGCGGGCCTCGGCCATCTCGCGGTCCAAAGGTGCTCTGGGGGGCCGGGGACTGGGTTTGCAACTGTGGGATAGCCAGAGGGCCCCGAGAAAGCAGGTGGGAACACTAGAGGGCGGCTGCGGAGGGAGAGGAGAGAAAGACAGATGCCTTTTGGGGTTCAAAAAACCCCAAACCAAACCAAACCTTTGCAGTCCGCGACTATGGCGCTTTAATTTCTGACACACTGGTGCAGTTTAGCCTGAAGCAATCTCTTCCCCGGCTGGCTTCAATCCAGAGCCGTCCCCCTGCTCGACCGGCTCGCACCTCGGCGCAGGGCAGCCGGGGCCGGTGGCGGGGCCTGCGAGTTGGGGTGCCTCCCCCCGAGGGGCAGAAGCCCCAGCAGGTCGGGAGCGGCCGGCTCGGCCCGGGCGCGGGGAAGCGGAGCACTGAAGGCAGACGTGCGTCCCGACCCCGCCGCAGCGCGCAGAGCAAGCCCGGCTTTGACGCGGGGACTTGGCGGCGGGAAGGCCCGACCGCCGCGGCCCCAGCGCCTGCAGCCAGCTGCCTAATCGCGGCGGAATTTATCTCGCTAATAAATTTAATGATCAATTCGTTCTTGTCACAGTAGCTCTTCCCCAAATCAATTATAGCAAATTTAAATATAATCACTGGCTCATCCTCACCCACTCCGGGCACGGCGAACAATTCATTCCGCCTAATGAAGGGCCGCCAGGCCCTGCTCCGCCCGCCTCGCGGGGCGCGCCCCCCACCCCGCTGACCGCGCGAGGCGGGGGTGGGGGGGTGAGAGGCTCTGCAGCCCCCCCCCCCACCAGGACCCTGTTTCCACGACCTGGAGTCAGGTCCTCGCAGCCCGAGCCCAGGGGGACACAAGCCCACGCTCCGCAGGGCTATCGCGTGGGCCTCCCGGCTTTCCACCCGAGCTAGGGTGCGCCGTGTGGACCCTGCAGGCGCCGGGTCGCTGCAGCCCGGGGGCTGGGTCCCCAGCGAGGCTCCCACCCAGCCTGACCCGCTGCCTGCTGAGAGCCGGATCCTGAGCCCGCTTCTCTTCGCCCTAGTGGGAGAGTCTCCTTCGTTCTCAGAAAAGAGGCACCTGCCCTGGCGAGTGTCTCCAGCATGTACAAAGGATGTGGATAAAGCCCTTTTTGCTACAAAGAAACCAATCTGCAGGTATCTTCCAGGTGACAGCCCGCAGTCCTGGCAGAGCTGTGGCCCAGGGTCCCAGGCCTCTACAGAAGATTTAATAGGCAGAGTCTGAGAAGTGCAGAAACGACTAGACCCTAGAGCAGGTGGGTCTGTTCCTTCTGAGGTGGGCCTTCCACCACCCAGCCGCGGAGGGAAGTCAGCTTGGCCAGATCAGCTTAAAAGACTTTCTATGACAGCAAACGCAAAAATAGACAAATGGGATAAGATCAGACTTGAAAACTTTTGCACAGCAAAGAAAACAGTCAACGGAATGGAAAGGCAACCCAGGACTGGGAGAAGATATTTGTAAATCATATATCTGATAAGGGGTTAATATGCCAAAGTATAAAGAACTCATACAACTCAACAACAAAAATAAGAATCCGATTTACAAAAAGGCAAAAGGCTTGAAGAGAGATTTCTCTGAAGCGGACACACACATGGTCCACAAGCACACGAAAGGGCGCTCAACATCACCCAGCACCAGGGAAACGCAGATCAAAACCACAATGAGCTTCCACCTCACACCCATTACCACGACTATCACAAAAAACGAAAACAGAGAATACCAAGTGTTGGCGAGGATATAGAGAAATTGGACCCTTTGTGCACTGCTGGGAAGAATGTAAAATAGGGCAGCCACTGTGGAAAACAGGATGGAGCTTTCTCAAAGACAAAACAAAAACAAAAACCAAAACAAAAACACCCCTAGAAACACCATATGATGCAGCGGTCCTCCTCCTTGTGTAGCCAAGAGAACTGGAAATGGGATCTGGAAGAGGGATTTGCACACCCATGCTTGGGCAGCAGTGTTCACAGCGACCAGGAGGTGGAAGCAACGGAAGCGTCCACAGTTGAAGAGAGAAAGAAAATGGAATATATCACACCATGGAATATTATTCAGCCTTTGAGAAGAAGGAAACCCTGCTCCCTGCCACCACACGGATGGACCTGAAGCACGTTATCCTGCATGAAATAAGCCAATCACTAAAAAGACAAATACTGCATAACTGTCCTCACAAGTGGACTCAAAGTCAGACTCTTAGAAAGTAGGAGGGTGGTTGTCAGGGCCTGGAGGAGGGGGGAAGGAGTTTTTCAATGGGTACAGAGTTTTAGTTTTGGGAGACGAAAAGATTCTAGAGATCTTTTGCCCAACCACAGTTAGCAGTACTGTACTGACACTTCGGACGGTTAAAACAAAGACAGGCCTGCCTCCCTCCCGCTCCTCCCCGCCCCGTCCCTCCCTCCTTCCCTCCCTCCCTCCAAGATAGGACAGATTTGCTGTGGAAAATCCAAATCACAGGGAAGGCACAGGAGGGGAGCCCCTGGACCAGAGCAGGAGGGCGTGGGCCGTCCGAGGCTGCGCTGTTGAGCGTCAGGCGCCGAGCTCCAGGCGGGTGCCACGGAGCACCTCCAGGGTCTGTGGCTTAACGCAGCCCTGCGGCGTCCCCTGCGCCACCCCCTCCAGCCCAGGGTCCCGGGGTGGCCAGGCCGGGACTGAGCTCCTGGGGCGGGGAGCGGCGGGCGGCGCAGCGCGGTGGGGGCGGCGGAGGGGGTACCGCTGGGGGGCGGGGCGAGGCAGGACCCGCAGGGCGGGGCCAGTGCAGGGCGTGGGCGACGTGGGGGCGTGCTCCCCGCAAACGTGCGCGGCCCCCCCAGTCTCGTATCAAAGTCCTGCGGCGCACTGTGTCTCCCTCAATAAAACTAATCCCTTCGGAGGTGTGACCTCCGCCAAGAACGCCGCACTGTTCCAGACTACAAGGGCAAATATGTTTTTCAGATTTGGTTTTTATGGTCGGATTAAAGTTTATTTTCCATAATAGGGCACCTAATAAAACTCACAAAGCCGGGTCGGGCCTCCAGCTGGTGGCCTCGTTTAACACTTTCACTTCGTAAATCACGCGCCAGGTGTGTCCCCAACTGGATGCCAACAAGAAAGCCCCTCCCCCTCTCTGGTCCGGGCCCACCGTTCGAGCCCCCCGCGAGCGGGCTGGGGCGGGGCGGGTGGGGGCGGGTCTTCTCCCCCCTCCACCACCCCTCCCCGCGGCCCGCGCCCCTAGACCCACCACCCTTCCCCCGCCCGCCCCCGGCCCCGCGCCGACCCCGCGCACCTGCCGCCCCCCAGGTGTACACAAGGTTCCGGACAATGTGCGGCTCCTCCGGGCCATTGTCCGCCCGCGCTCGGGCAGGACAAAGGGTGCCCCCACCCCGGGCGGCCTCGGCCGGGGGGCGGCGGGCGCGGTTTACCCAGCTGGGGGGAGGAACAAAGGCCCGCCGCCTTATCTCGGCGGGGCGCGGGGTC